ACGAGCTAAAGACACTGAGAGATGAGCTGAAGACACAGAGAAACAAGCTGAAGACACTGAGAGACGAGCTGAAGACACAGAGAGATGAGCTGAAGACACAGAGAAACAAGCTGAAGACACTGAGAGACGAGCTGAAGACACAGAGAGATGAGCTGAAGACACTGAGAGACGAGCTGAAGACACAGAGAGACGAGCTGAAGACACTGAGAGACGAGCTGGACACTGAGAAACGAGCTGAAGACACTGAGAGACGAGCTGAAGACACTGAGAGACGAGCTGAAGACACTGAGAGACGAGCTGAAGACACTGAGAGACGAGCTGAAGACACTGAGAGGTGAGCTGAAGTCACTGAGAGACGAGCTGAAGACACAGAGAGGTGAGCTGAAGACACTGAGACGAGCTGAAGACACTGAGATGAGCTGAAGTCACTGAGACGAGCTGAAGACACTGAGATGAGCTGAAGCCACTGAGAGACGAGCTGAAGACACTGAGACGAGCTGAAGACGAGCTGAAGACGAGCTGAAGATTTGTCCATTTTAAATTTATTTAAAAACATTTTTCAGGACCAGATTTGTGGACCTTCAGTCCCAGACCTGGTTTAAGTCGGACCAGGTTTTCATGAATCAGGTCCATAAATCAGACCTGCTGGCCCGGGTCCAGTTCTAGTMTGTGGTTCCACCTCAACAATGTTCAGCATAGGTTCTGTGTTACTGTGGTTCCGTGTCTGCAGGGAACACCATGTCAGACTGGTTCTGCAGGTTCTGGAGAAAGAGTCCGGATCAGGCTGGATCAGTTCCTGTTCTCTGTAAAGGACTCTTCTGGACCCATCAGAGTTCTAGATTTGGTCCAGATGGTTTCTGTCAGAAATGAAAACAAACCAGGATCACAGAATCTGGTTTGACCCGGTTTCTTTTGTCTTCAGAACCAATAATCCTGCAGGGTCTGGTGAAACTCAGAACCAGAACCAGGTTCAGTCCTTTGTTGGACCACACCTGCTGCTGCTGTAGATGTTTCTGAGGAAAAATTCATTTGGTGAAGATAAAATCAGAGAATTTCAGGTGTGTCTGATTGACAGTCCACACCTGTAAGGGGGCGGAGCCTGCAGAGGTTTTMTCTAGGTTGTGGGTCCAAATCCTCTGTTTCCTGTTGTTCTGTTCTCTGCAGGTGAACATGAAGTTAGTTTAGATTTAAAAAAACAAGTTTCATTCTTCAGCCTTTCGGCTGGATTATTTCTGAATAAACAGCTAAAAACACTTCACAGATTTGTCTTAATGAGATTTTAGCTTTTTCAGGCTAAAACCTGTTGAACATGAGCTAAAACATGCTGAACATGAGCTAAAACATGCAGAACATGAGCTAAAACATGCACAACATGAGCTAAAACATGCTGAACATGAGCTAAAACATGCATAACATGAGCTAAAACATGCTGAACATGAGCTAAAACATGCTGAACATGAGCTAAAA